CAAATAACCCAATTAAAAAATGGGCAAAGGAGCTGAATAGGCATTTCTCAAAGGAAGATAATGAATGGCCAACAGACACATGAAAAAATGCTCAATATCACTCAGCACTAGGGAAATTCAAATCAAAACCACTTTGAGATACCATCTCACTCCAGTTAGGATGGCTAATATCCAAAAGGCTGAGAATAAACACTGGCAAGGTTGCAGAGAAAAGGAACTCTCATAGGCTGTTGGCAGGGCTTTAAAATGGTGCAGCCTTTATGGAAAATGGTATGGAGATTCCTCAAACAATTACAAGACAGATCTACCCTATGACCCAGCTATTCCACTGCTGGGAATATACCCACCGGAATAGAAATCATCATGCTGAAGGGATACCTGTACTCCCATTATTGCAACACTATTTACAATAGGCAAGAGTTGGAACCAGCCCAAATGTCCATCATCAGATAAGTGGATAAGGAAACTGTGGTATATCTACACAATAGACTACTACTCTGCTATAAAAAAGAATGATATACTACCATTCGCAAGGACATGCATGGACTTAAAGGAAATTATATTAAGTGAAACAATCAGACACAGTAAGAAAAATACCACATATTCTCACTTATTTGTGGGAGCCATAAATAAATAAATAAATAAATATACAAACCAATAAAGGGAGGGGGAAGAAGACACAACAATCACAACAATTCCTTGAACTTGTTAAGACAAATGAACAGATATGATGTAGTAGGTGGGGGAGGAGAGAGATGGAGGGGGGAAAGAGGAACAGGTAAAGGGACAAGAAAATCAACTACAATGTATACTGAGAAGTTAAAATAAAATAAAAATATATTTAAAAAATAGAAAAGCAAAAAGAATAAAAACAAAAATAAAATAAAATACAATAAAATTCAGCATTTAGAACAAAAAACTCAAAATGTCTAGCATTCATTCAAAATTTACCAGGCATGCAAAGAAGCAGGAGGGAAAAAAGCCCATGAACCATAACCAGGAGAAAAATCAATAGAAAGTGACACAGCAATGATACAGTCAAATATATTTCATATGTTCTAGAAGGTTAAAGAAAATATGAATATGATGAGGAGAGAAATGGAAAATATAAAAAGACCAGGGGCCGGCCCAGTGGCGCACTGCTACAATGCGCCGCTTGGGAAGCGCGGCAGCGCTGCCTCCGAGGGTTCGGATCCCACATACAGACCGGCCGCTCACTGGCTGAGCGAGGTGCGGGGGCAACACCAAGGGTTGCGATCCCATTGCCGGTCCCGGTCCGGTACGGGCGCGACACTGAGGGTTGCGATCCGTTGCCGCTGCCTCCGAGGGTTCGGATCCCACATACAGACCGGCCGCTCACTGGCTGAGCGAGGTGCGGGGGCAACACCAAGGGTTGCGATCCCATTGCCGGTCCCGGTCCGGTACGGGCGCAACACTGAGGGTTGCGATCCGTTGCCGGTCACGAAAAAAGAGACAAAAAAAAAAGGGGGGGGGAAATATATATATATATATAAAAAGACCCAAAGTGGACTTATAGAGACATAAAATTACAATATCTAAATGAAAAATATACTGGATGAGATTAACAGCATATTTACCAATGTAGAAGAAAAGATCAGTGAGCATAAAGACATAGCAAAAAAAAAAATAAGGATATTGGAAATGGTGGGAAGGCAGAGGGGGAGGAAGTTGGAGAGAGTAGGCTGGGCAAAAGGCATAAAGAAAAATCACAGTTTGTAACAATGATATGCTTATAATAAATAATAAAAAATAAGACATAGCAAAAATCTCTACCAAATTAATCACAGAGAGAAAGAAGATTGAAACAGAAATACACAGAGCATATTAAGTTTTCTAACTTATGTGTAATTGAAATCCCAGACAAGGAGAGAGGAAAGGAACAAAAAAAATTTTTCGAAAAAATAATGACCAAAATTTTCCTGATTTGATGAAAACTAAAACCTAGAAGTTCAATGAATATCAAATAGAAGAAACATGAAAAAATTAAA